CAACTCTCAGCGCCCTGAAAAAACTACGGCTCCCATGACTTTTCCCCACCAGGGAAACTGCTGCTGTTAATCTTCGGCTTTTTCTAGCCTCGAAACTTTTCCATTCCAGCTGGTTATTGGGAGAAATCTTGACACCTAAGAACCAGTGTCTTGAGTTTGCTTCTTTCCTCCTCCCTCCTCCCTCCTCTTTCCTTTCGTGCCGTGTGTTTTAGGGCCTTACGTTACTCTGGGATGCTTAAAAAACAAAATACATAAATGCCCTTCGGTTTGCTTCATAACACGGCTGGCCAGCTCCCCTCTGTTCTCTCTCTCTCTATTGTGATTTTTTTGGTTCTGGCTTTGCTGCAGTCGCTAGGGAGAGTTGAAGGGTACCCAGGAGCCAGCACGGCATCCCTGAAGTCAAAATTGCGTGGCTGTGACATCACAGGCAGTTGCCGTGGCAACCCTCGGCTCCTAAACGCTGTCATTGGCTTAAGGTCAGGAGTCAAACATGGCTCCCTCTCTCCTTTTCCACCCAGTTTACTGTCTCCAAGTTGATGGGTCGACAAACCCTGGAGAGGACTGTCTCCCCAATCGCTGTTTCTTAAGATTCTGCTTTCAAAAATAACTTGGGTTGCATCCAACTGACGCTCTGTCTGCACTGTGCATTTAAAGCAGTATTGCACCATTTTAAAGGATCGTGGTTTTCCCTACTCCCCAAAATCCTGGAAACTGTTGTTTGACGTGGGCGCTGTTCAGAGAACCCCTAATTCCCCTCCTTAGAGCTACGATTTTCTTCCATATATATAATTTTTATTAGTTTTTTTACCTATCATTTTCAACAGTAATTAAACATACTTTTACATTTTACTCAATTTTTTTGACTTCCATCAGTCCTGTCTGAAAATTTTCCAATCTACTCTCTTAGTATGCATTTCTTATTTTCCCTATTACCGTATTTTTTGCTCTATAAGACTCACTCTTCCCCTCCTAAAAAGTAAGGGGAAACGTGTGTGCGTCTTATGGAGCGAATGCAGGCTGCGCAGCTATCCCAGAAGCCAGAACAGCAAGAGGGATTGCTGCTTTCACTGCCCAGCGATCCCTCTTGCTCTTCTGGCTTCTGAGATGCAGAATATTTTTTTTCTTGTTTTCCTCCTCCAAAAACTAGGTGTGTCTCGTGGTCTGGTGCTTCTTATAGAGCGAAAAATACGGTACATTTCAAACTCATAACCAATATCTCTGTCTTTTTCTACTTTGCAACACTTCGTCTATTTCTCCTTACAAAACTTCTTGTAGTCCTACTAGCGTAATTTGTTGATTGCAGTTGCTCTTCAAATATACAGCTACGGTTCTCAAATAACTCCTCTTCATGGTGAACTTCGGGAAACATAGCTCTGTGAGGGAGATGGAGCAGGGGGTGGGATCTTCTAACAATTCGCGGCGCCCTTAGAAAAATACAGTTCCCGGAAGCCCTTGCTGTTTAAAAGTGGTGCGATAAGAGCTTTATCCTGGAAGCAGGGGCCTAAGCGTGGAGTACAGAGTTAAATTCACTTAGCAGCATAACTCGGGGGAAATGTTGTTATGCAAGAGACTTGTTTGGGAGGTTACTTCTGCAACAAGTTTCCCTTCAGTTGCATTTTTCAGTAATAATAATAATAATAATTGTTGTTGTTTAGCCGTTTAGTCGTGTCCGACTCTTCGTGACCCCATGGACCAGAGCACGCCAGGCACTCCTGTCTCCCACTGCCTCCCGCAGTGGAATAATAATTTATTATTTATACCCCGCCCATCTGGCTGGGCTTCCCCAGCCACTCTGGGCAGCGTCCAAAAAAATATTAAAATACTGTAATACATCAAACATTAAAAGCTTCCCTAAACAGGGCTACCTTCAGATGTCTTCTAAAAGACTGGTAGTTGTTGTTCTCTTTGACATCTGGTGGGAGGGCGTTCCACAGGGAGGGCGCCACCACCGAGAAGGCCCTCTGCCTGGTTCCCTGTAACTTGGCTTCTCGCAATGAGGGAACCGCCAGAAGGCCCTTGGCACTGGACCTCAGTGTCCGGGCTGAATGATGGGGGTGGAGACGCTCCTTCAGGGATGCAGGACCAAGGCCGTTTAGGGCTTTCAAGGTCAGCACCAAAACTTTGAATTGTGCTCGGAAACGTACTGGGACCCAATGTAGGTCTTTGAAGACCGGTGTTATGTGGTCTTGGTGGGTGGAGGGATGCTTTAGTCAAAGAAATAAATTTTAAGTTTGGGGTTCACCCAAGCATGCTGATCTCTCCCATTACTGCCCATCTTGCCAGCACCGAACCATCGTGTTCGCTGCTGGAGGGACGGCTGACAACATATTGCCATCGACGTGTGAGGTTTCCGGGGCACAAGAGGACCGTTCTCAAGGCGCTTTCAGCCTAAAGCAGGAATTGGGGGAAACTCCCGCTATGCCCCACGGAGGACCTTAAGGTCCATAAATAGCAACACCCTAGAGGTCTCGGGCCCTAAGGAAGTCAGATTAGCCTCAACCAGAGCCAGGGCCTTTTCAGCACTGGCCCCGTCTTGGTGGAACGCTCTGTCTCTTGAGACCAGGGCCCTGCAGGATCTGATTTCTTTCTGCAGGGCGTGTAAGAGTTGGGTCTTTGGCTTGAAATCAATTTGATTCCCTCCCCCTCTTTCTTTTTTCCTTTCTCCTTCTGTGATGGAACTCTTATCTGGAGACTTCCTTGGCTTTTTTCTGGCCCACGTAGGACCAGTTTGGATAGTTAGCCTTGGTGAAGACTTGACGTTTTTATCCCCCCAAAAGTTTTTGATTGAGTTTCCACTGAAATGAGGCTGCATTTTAATGTTTAATCTTGTTTTTCAAGCTGTATTTAAATCAATTGTTTTTATATTTGGTGTTCGTCGCCCTGAGCCCGGTCTTGGCTGGGGAGGGCTGGGTATAAATAAAATTTATTTTTATTTTTATTATTTGTTGTTGTTGTTTAGTTGTTTAGTCGTGTCCGACTCTTCGTGACCCCATGGACCAGAGCACGCCAGGCACTCCTGTCTTCCACTGCCTCCCGCAGTTTGGTCAAACTCATGTTTGTAGCTTCGAGAACACTGTCCCACCATCTCGTCCTCTGTCGTCCCCTTCTCCTTGGGCCCTCCATTTTTCCCAACATCAGGGTCTTTCCCAGGGAGTCTTCTCATGAGGTGGCCAAAGTCTTGGATCCTCAGCTTCAGGATCTGTCCTTCCAGTGAGCACTCAGGGCTGATTTCCTGAAGAATGGAGAGGTTTGATCTTCTTGCAGTCCATGGGACTCTCAAGAGTCTCCTCCAGCACCAGAATTCAAAAGCATCCATTCTTTGGCCATCAGCCTTTTTTGTGGTCCAGCTCTCACTTCCATACATCACTGCTGGGAAAACCATAGCTTTAACTATACAGACCTTCGTTGGCAAGGTGATGTCTCTACTTTTTAAGATTATTATTATTATTATTATTGCTTTTGGCACTTTTGGCAGCTGGGTTAGGATGCAGACTTCCCCATCATTCTTGTCCCTGCCCCCCGATAGACACCCTTGTGAGATCCCCTCCCTGTATTCGAGTGTGTTTGTGGAAAGGCGTTGCAGCGTTTAATCTTGACTGACAATGCACAGCGATCTCCAAATTGCTGCATGCTGCCTCGTTCGACTTTGCAGGCTGTCAAAGGAGGTCGTTGACAGTTCGAGTTGCATGGCTTGTGGGGATCAGGGAGGAAGGGTGCGTGGATAAGCTTTGGGGGGCAGGAGCCAACTCCCCACTCCTGAAAGATGTGCCTTATTTTTTACGCTGCAGATCTTTATACATATCTCCAGGGTTACATCAGGGTCATCAGGAGTGTCCGGGGACGTGGGTGCCACGCAGAGTGCAAAGCCCTGGCACTGAAATTTGTGGGTGCCCGGCCTCTTCATGGGGAATTTTGTGGGTGCTCCCAGGTTCCCAGGGAGTTGGCACCTAAGATGACGATCAGGGTGTTCAAAGTTCGGATCTGTCTTCTTTCCAGAGCTGAATGGGTAGCGCTTTAATTGCTGCAATTTGCAAACTGTAAGAGTTTGTTGTTGTTGTTGTTTAGTCGTGTCTGCCTCTTCGTGACCCCTGGACCAGAGCACGCCAGGCACTCCTGTCTTCCACTGCCTCCCGCAGTTTGGTCAAACTCATGCTGGCAGCTTCGAGAACACTGTCCCACCATCTCGTCCTCCGTCGTCCCCTTCTCCTTGCGCCCTCCATCTTCCCCAACATCAGGGTCTTTTCCAGGGAGTCTTCTCTTCTCATGAGGTGGCCAAAGTCTTGGAGCCTCAGCTTCAGGATCTGTCCTTCCAGTGAGCACTCAGGGCTGATTTCCTTCCGAATGGAGAGGTTTGATCTTCTTGCAGTCCATGGGACTCTCCAGAGTCTCCTCCAGCACCAGAATTCAAAAGCATCAATTCTTCGGCGATCAGCCTTCTTTATGGTCCAGCTCTCACTCTCACTGTAAGAGTAGGGCGTGTCATTTTAAGGAAGTGAAACTTCCTTAGGGAGGTGGCTTAAAAACAGGGTTTTTTTGGGGTGTGAGGGGTTCAAATTTGGTATTATTTTTGTGTAACTGGACAATGTTTAGCTTGGCAAGTACAGTGGTACCTCTAGTTATGAACTTAATTCGTTCTGGAGGTCCGTTCTCAACCTGAAACTGTTCTTAACCTGAAGCACCACTTTAGCTAATGGGGCCTCCTGCTGCTGCTGCCACTGCGCCGCCGGAGCACAATTTCTGTTCTCATCCTGAAGCAAAGTTCTTAACCTGAAGCACTATTTCTGAGTTAGCGGAGTCTGTAACCTGAAGCGTCTGTAACCAGAGGTACCACTGTACACACCTTTTACTTAAAAAGCAAAAACACCCATCCCCTGGCTCTGAACCTTCTTCCTCTGAAGATTCTCCAGCTGGTTTCTGCCATTGCATCCAATCAGTTTATGACACTTGCTGTTTGGCTGGTTCCTGTGTTCTTAAGACGTCTTTTCCCCTTCCCTCTCTAGGTTCTACTGGGACTTCACCATGCTTCTGTTCATGGTGGGGAACCTCATCATCATCCCCGTTGGCATCACCTTCTTCAAGGACGAGACCACGGCCCCCTGGATCGTATTCAACGTAGTGTCGGACACCTTCTTCCTCATGGACCTGGTGATGAACTTCCGGACGGGGATCGTCATTGAGGACAACACAGAGATCATCTTGGACCCTGAGCGCATCAAGAAGAAGTATCTAAAGACGTGGTTCGTGGTGGACTTGGTCTCCTCCATCCCTGTGGATTATATTTTCCTCATCGTGGAGAAGGGCATCGACTCGGAGGTCTACAAGACTGCCCGGGCTCTGCGCATCGTCCGCTTCACTAAGATCCTCAGCCTTTTGCGGCTGCTTCGCCTTTCGAGACTTATCCGTTACATTCACCAGTGGGAGGAGGTAGGATTGTTTATTCATTTGCAGCCTTCCTTAACCCAGTGGTTTCCCCCAGATTTTGCTGGACTACAGCTCCCTTCAGCAGCAGTGGTCAAGGATGATAGGAGTTGTGGGCCTGTAGTCTTTCAGCACCATGGAGAGCTCTGAGCTTGGGGTAGTTGTTTCCCTGAAGTGCAGAGAGCTTCCAAGTAGGTGGGGAGCTCAGGCAAGTCATGCAGTACCACGGAGAGCTCTGAAGTGGCCGTTCAGGGTTATAAAGGAATTTGAGGTTGTGTTTCAATACCATGGAGAGCTCCAAGAGCTCATTCAGCGAAATGGAATTTCAGGTGGTCTTTCAGTACCATGGAGAGCACCAAGTGGTCGTTCAGGACCACGGAGAGCTCCGCAATTGTCTTTCAGTGATGTTGCTCCCCATTTGTGGAATCCTTTCCCCAGGAAGGCTCGCCTGGCGCCTTCATTAACATATCATTAACATTAGGCTCCAGGCATAAATGTTTCTCTATAACCAGGCCTTTGGCCTTTGAAATGTGTTTGTGGTAGGGGACCCAAAATTTGGATTGAGCCCAGAACAAACCAGGGGCTGGCTTTTGGGCTGAGGTTTTCTCCAGAGTTACAAATCCAGATGGGATTAAACTGGCCCCCGGCAACCTCTGCCTGTCCTCTCTTCCACGACCTAAGCTAGATGGAGGCTATAATGATGGGGGAGAACCTTGAGATCCTTGGAGGAAAATGGAGATGTACATGGAAAACACAGAAACATACATTTTTAATAGATAGTGGTTAAAGACATATGGTTGAATAAATGGAGACTGCCTGGCCTTCCCACTTTTCAGGAAGAAATGTCAGATGTGGAAGATTGACGGTCCTCAGAAGGATATCGCAGAGCTGTAGAGGGTTCAGAAATGGGCGATCCAAATTATCAGGAAATAACCCACACTCCTCCCTCTGATGAGGAAGGGGTACAACATCTGGGATTTTTTAGTATAGGGGGAAAATCAGCAAGGGGGAATGTGATGGAGGTGTGGAAAATAAATGCATGCCATGCAGAAAGGATAGGGACGCGGGTGGCGCTGTGGGTTAAACCACAGAGCCTAGGACTTGCTGATCAGAAGGTCAGTGGTTCGAATCCCTGTGACAACGGGGTGAGCTCCCGTTGCTCGGTCCCTGCTCCTGCCAACCTAGCAGTTCCAAAGCACACCAGGGCAAGTAGATAAATAGGTACCGCTCCGGCGGGAATGTAAACAGCGTTTCCATGCGCTGCTCTGGTTCGCCAGAAGCGGCTTAGTCCTGCTGGCCACATGACCCGGAAGCTGTACGCCGGCTCCCTCGGCCAATAAAGCGAGATGAGCGCCGCAACCCCAGAGTCGGCCACGACTGGACCTAATGGTCAGGGGTCCCTTTACCTTTACCTATGCAGAAAGGAAAGGGGGAGAGTTTTTTCTCCTCTCGCAGTTTAGGGAAGTTTTAAATGTCTGATGTTTCGTTGTGTTTTTAATACTCTGTTGGGAGGCGCCCAGAGTAGCTTGGGGAAACCTGGCCAGATGGGCGGGGTAATTGTGTGTGTGTGTGTGTGTGTGTGTGTGTGTGTAAATAAATAAAATCACCATCATCACCACAACACTAGAACTTGGAGCCATCCAAGTATTGTTAGAAACTCAGATAATATAAGCTAGGAGCCAAATGGCTTCTTAGTCCAAGCTTGCAGCCACAAAAACGGAATGCCTTGTTGCCATTTTGGGGCAAGACAGCTCTAAAGCCTTTTTGATTGATTGATTGATTGATGGGCTGTGATTGATGCTCAGTGAAATATCTGGCTAGTCCAGGTGACAACCTTGAGCCCACTTAAGAGCTTTGAGAACTTAAAGAAGAAAAGTCCCTTGATCCAGGGACAAGTCCACATAATTATTAACCTGTCCCTACCTCATTTTCTTAATGGTGACACGGATCATTCATAACTTAAGAATATTCTGCACCACCGTCTTCCATTGTCTTCCGTGTACAATGGATGTTGTGTGGGAATATGTTGTTGTTGTTTAGTCGTTTAGTGGTGTCCGCCTCTTCGTGACCCCCTGGACCAGAGCACGCCAGGCACTCCCGTCTTCCACTGCCTCCCACAGTTTGGTCAAACTCATGCTGGTAGCTTCGAGAACACTGTCCAGCCATCTCATCCTCTGACATCCCCTTCTCCTTGTGCCCTCCATCTTTCCCAACATCAGGGTCTTTTCCAGGGAGTCTTCTCTTCTCCTGAGGTGGCCAAAGTCTTGGAGCCTCAGCTTCAGGATCTGTCCTTCCAGTGAGCACTCAGGGCTGATTTCCTTCCGAATGGAGAGGTTTGATCTTCTTGCAGTCCATGGGACTCTCAAGAGTCTCCTCCAGCACCAGAATTCAAAAGCATCCATTCTTCAGCAATCAGCCTTCTTTATGGTCCTGCTCTCACTTCCATACATCACTACTGGGAAAACCAGAGCTTGAACTATACGGACCTTTGTTGGCAAGGTGATGTCTCTGCTTTTTAAGATGCTGTCTAGATTTGTCATCGCTTTTCTCCCAAGAAGCAGGCATCTTTTAATTTCGTGGCTGCCGTCACCATCTGCAGTGATCATGGAGCCCAAGAAAGTAAAATCTCTCACTGCCTCCATTTCTGTGTGGGAATATACTTGCCATGAAAGGCTTTTGTAATTTGTGAGACGGGAAGGGAAAAGAACCTCAATTTCTCTCTGACCTGGAGGCAAATCTCGTCCTCTGTCCATGGTGCTGAAGCCACATATTTTCTCCCTCGATTTGAGACTCCGTCGCTCATTAACAGGGAGAGATCCTCAGTTTTGCCACCTTAAACGATGACGAGCGACAAGGAGGAACAAGACATGGGCAGCTCAGTTCCTAACTGTGTCCCCTGAGCAAATTCTGCAATAGGAAGCCGAGGCCGGTATAAACAAGGAGAAAAATTTAAGGGCTTCAGTTTGGCATATGCAGCTACTTACTTGAAAGTAAATGATGCTGAACAGAGTGTGATGTACTTGGAATCTTATAATTTTAGGGTTGAAAGGAATCTTGAGGGACACCTCCGCCCCTGCAAGGCAGGAATCTCGACTAAACTTCTTAGAGAACATGTTATTAGCAGCGTGAGTGTGGATAGCAGCCCAGGATACAGTCATACCTCGCGTTACAGACGCTTCAGGTTGTGTTTTTTTTGGGTTACAGACTGCTGAAAGCCGGAAGTACTGGAATGGTTTACTTCCGGGTTTCAGCGGTCACGCATGCGCAGAAGCGCTAAATCGCGTTTTGCTCATGCGCAGAAGCCGCCCGGGACGTTCAGCTTCCAAAAATACCATGCTTTTCAGTGTATAAGACTATTCTTTTTTACTCTAAAATAAACAACGGAGCCTCTTGGGCTTGCCGATCAGAAGGTCGGTGGTTCGAATCCCTGCGACGGGGTGAGTTCCTGTTGCTCGGTCCCTGCTTCTGCCAACCTAGCAGTTTGAATGCATGCCAAAGTGCAAGTAGATAAATAGGTACCGCTCTGGCGGGAAGGTAAACAGCGTTTCCGTGCGCTGCTCTGGTTCGCCAGAAGCGGCTTAGTCCTGCTGGCCACAGGACCCGGAAGCTGTACGCCGGATCCCTCGGCCAATAAAGCGAGATGAGTGCTGCAACCCCAGAGTCGTCTGCGACTGGACCTAACAGTCAGGGGGTACTTTTACCTTTTTAATGTTCATAATGTGGGCTCGTCTTATACATGGATAGTACAGTGGTACCTCGGGTTACAGACGCTTCAGGTTACAGACGCTTCAGGTTACAGACTCCGCTAACCCAGAAATAGTACCCCGGGTTAAGAACTTTGCTTCAGGATGAGAACAGAAATCGTGCAGCGGTGGCAGCGGGAGGCCCCATTAGCTAAAGTGGTACCTCAGGTTAAGAACAGTTTCAGGTTAAGAATGGACCTCCAGAACGAATTAAGTTCTTAACCCGAGGTACCACTGTATCTCGCCCCCTCCATTTTCTTACATCGGAGCCCCCCAAAATAGGAGGTGTCTTATACATGGGGGCGTCTTATAGACGGAAGGTACGGTAGTTTGCCAACAAAGGTCCGTCTAGTTCAAGCTCTGGTTTCCCCAGTAGTGATGTATGGAAGTGAGAGCTGGACCATAAAGAAGGCTGATGGCCGAAGAATGGATGCTTTTGAATTATGGTGCTGGAGGAAACTCTTGAGAGTCCCATGGACTGCGAGAAGATCAAACCTCTCCATTCGGAAGGAAATCAGCCCTGAGTGCTCACTGGAAGGACAGATCCTGAAGCTGAGGCTCCAGGACTTTGGCCACCTCATGAGAAGAGAAGACTCCCTGGAAAAGACCCTGATGTTAGGAAAGATGGAGGGCGCAAGGAGAAGGGGACAACAGAGGACGAGATGGTGGGACAGTGTTCTCGAAGCTGCTAACATGAGTTTGACCAAACTGTGGGAGGCAGTGGAAGACAGGAAGGCCTGGCGTGCTCTGGTCCAGGGGGTCACGAAGAGGCGGACACGACTAAACGACAACAACACGGTAGTTTGCAAACTGGAACAGTCACTTCTGGGTTTCGACCGTTCGGGAGCGGATTTGTTTGGGAGCCGAGGCGTTTGAGATCCAAGGTAGATGCATTTGGTAGGGTAGGGGGCACGGCGGATGAGTTTATGGAGTCTAGAGGGGGGTGAGTTTATGGAGCCACTAGCCTGGAGCGGGATAAGGCAGGACCCCAAAGGCGGACGCTGCCTCCTGTCAACGCTTTTGCCCTGTCCTTCTGTGTCTCCCAGAGAAACTGCAGCCTGCTCTCCATCCCCGTGTCATAATTTCTGCCAGGAGGGGAGCATCTGTTCATCGGCTGCAAGCTTCCACATGCCGGCCCCCCCCCCTCGACGCAGGCCATGCGCCGCAGAGAGGCCCTTGTCTCTTCCCTGACCCCAGCTGTAATTACCCGCTAGATTGAATGTTGGAACAATTAATACGTCCTCGTCAAACGACGAGCCTTTTGTGATTGGGTTTCCTCCGCGCAGAGCAAGAGAGAGCTATTTCCACGCTGCCTCGAGCCTGCGATCAAAGCGGCAGGGGCGGCGTTGGTGGTCTGCAGGACAGCTGGGGGAGAGTCCCCCCCACTGCGGTCGCCAGTTCGAATCCGGCCTTAACTACTTCCGGGAAGCGGGAGCTGTTTTATTAGCCCACGTCTGTGATGTCTGCAAAACCCTGGGTTCAATTCCTGGCACCTCTACTTCGTAAGAGTTGGAATACCAGAGGGCCTCCTCTCTCGCTCAACCTTCCTGCTCAGTCACTTAGTGATATTTCGAACCCGTCTTTTCCCGGACTGGGGACTCAAGGCAGCTTACGCAAATGAAAGCAGCAACAAAAACAAAAGATAGAATACAGTGCGCTTCCAACCGTTTCTGGGCGAAATTCTGCAAGATACCGTATTTTTCACTCTATAAGACGCACCAGACCACAAGATGCACCTAGTTTTTGGAGGAGGAAAACAAGAAAAAAATTAACCCCAGAAGCCAGAACAGCAAGAGTGATCGCTGCGCAGCGAAAGCAGCAATCCCTCTTGCTGTTCTGGCTTCTGGGATAGCTGCGCAGACTGCGTTCGCTCCATAAGACGCGCACACATCTCCCCTTACTTTTTAGGAGGGGGAAAAGTGAGTCTTATAGAGCAAAAAATACGGTAAATGGTAGCAAGTCGGAGAGCTTGAAAGCTCTTTTGGAACTGGTTTTTCCTGGGGCGGAAAGAGGTTTAAGCTCTCTGTCTTCCTTGGGGGGCAGGAGAAGCTCAGTGGGAAGCTAACTTAATGCGTCGGCTCCAGGAGAAATCCCCCAGGCGCCTTTTATGACTTGCGCAGGTCCGATTGCGACCATCTCTGGCTGCCAGGCTGGCAAATCACATCTCCTTCTGGCTGACCCCTCCAACTTCCTTAAGCAGGTCAGCAGACGAGTTTATTCATTGATTTCCCACCTTCTTCTCCAATGAGTCCATGGCATAGCTGTCAACCGTCCCTTATTTGGCGGGAAACTCCCTTATCCCAGCGCCGTGTCCCGCTGCTGTCCCTTATTGACGATGTCCCTTAAATTTCCCGGGTTTCAAAGGAAGCAGCTCCTCTCCCTCCCTCCCTGCCGGCCAGGGAGGAGGGAGGCTCCAACTGGGTTGCTTGGCTGCGTTGCTCACCCAATAAGGAGTCGATAAGAACGACTGGGGGGTGGAGCTTGCATGCCTTGTGCCAATCAAATCGGCCGCGTTGCCTGGGGACTCGCCTTTGCTCAGCGCTTCCCAGCGGAGAGGTGACGGTGTTTTTCCTTGCTGCATCCCCTTTGCCGGGTTGCTGCGCTGTGGGAACCACCGCTTGAGGCTTCGTTTGGCTGCTGGCTGGGCTTTCTGCCTTTGGCTCAGAGGGGCTCAGAAGTTGAACATACCTGTGCTTGGGAAACCCCTTATTTTGGCTGCTGGTCCCTTATTTCCGAGGCTGCTGGTTCCTTATTTTCAAATCTGTAAGTTGACAGCTATGGTCCATGGTTCTGCCGCCTCCACACTTAATCCCTACAACGACCTTGCAAGGCAGGCTAAGAGACATTGACTGACTCCAAGGTCACCCTGTGACCTTCATGACCAGGGCCAAATTTAGGTTTGATGAGGCCCTAAGCTACTGAAGTTATATGTCCAGCTATCCTTTGTCAACAACAAATTGCTGCTGTTTTTTGTGTCAAATATATGCTATATGGTCATTTATGGACCTAATGGGCACCGTATTTTTCACTCTATAAGACCATAAGACGCACTAATTTTTGGAGGAAGAAAACAAGAAAAAATAATATTCTGAATCTCAGAAGCCAGAACAGCAAGAGGGATTGCTGCGCAGCGATCCCTCTTGCTGTTCTGGCTTCTGGGATAGCTGCGCAGCCTGCATTCGCTCCATAAGACGCACACACATTTCCCCTTACTTTTTAGGAGGGAAAAAGTGAGTCTTACAGAGCAAAAAATACGGTATCTCAAGCCATTTGCACAAAAAGGACTGGTTTTGGGGGGGAAGTACTTTTAAACATTTTTTTTCCAATTAATTATGAATTATTTCCCAATACATCTTCCAAATATTTGAAGACAGCAATCCGGTCACCTCTCAGACTTTTATATGCTTTCTGTGTTTTTTCCGTGTTGTTTTAATTTGCGTAAGCTGCTTCGAGCCCCAGTCTGCGGGCTGGCAGGATATAAATATAACGCCAACTTAAATAATTATTCCTTTTGCTCTTGGGAGTGCGGCATCGAGAGGCGTCTGCAGACCCGTTTTCTGTTTTAAATTTAATGTAAAACAAAGAACGAAACGGAAAATCAATGGCCTGGCCATCTTGTTCTCTTTTATACGTTCAGGAGAGTCTTTGTAGTGGCTCTTTTTAGACTGGCAAGCTTTTCAAAGAAACAGAACAAAACTCAGAAGCTTTAACAGTAATTGCGCCCCCCTGTTTTCAATCTGCTGCGCTATATATATATATATATATATATCACCCAGTTTAGTGTTATTTCTCTAGAACTGTCCTTTCATCTGTCTCGATTGAGATATTTGTCTTCCAAATGTGGGGTGCAGATCATAGAATCGTAGAATCTTAGAGCTGGTAGGGACCCAGCAGTCATCTAGTCCAACCCCCTGCGATGTAGGAATCTCGGCTAAAGCACCCATGACAGATGGCCACCCAGCCTCTGCTTGAAAACCACCAAGGAAGGAGAGTCCGCCATCTCTCGTGGGAGTCTGTTCCACTGCTGAACAGCTCTTACTGTCAGAAAGTTTCCCCCAATGTTTAGTTGGAATCTCCTTTCTTGTCACTTGAAGCCACGGGTTCGAGTCCTCCCCTCCAGAGCAGGAGAAAACAAGCGTGCTCCCTCTTCCATGTGGCAGCCTTTCAGATATTTGAGGATGGCTATCATATCTCCTCTTTTCCAGGATAAACATACCCAGCTCCTTCGACCGTTCCTCATCAGGCTCGGTATCCAGACCCTTGATCATCTTGCTTGCCCTCCTCTGCACACATTCCAGCTTGTCAACATCCTTCTTAAATTGTGGTGCCCAGAAATGGACACAGGTGTGGTCTGAGCTGGGCAGAATAGAGCGGGACTATGGACTATGACTTCCCTTTTAGGGACGCAGGTGGCGCTGTGGGTTAAACCACAGAGCCTAGGACTTGCCGATCAGAAGGTCGGTGGTTCGAATCCCCACAACAGGATGAGCTCCCGTTCCTCGGTCCCTGCTCCTGCCAACCTAGCAGTTCAAAAGCACACCAGTGCAAGTAGATAAATAGGTACCGCTCCGGCGGGAAGGGAAACGGCATTTCCGTGCGCTGCTCTGGTTCGCCAGAAGCGGCTTAGTCCTGCTGGCCACATGACCTGGAAGCTGTACGCCGGCTCCCTCGGCCAGTAAAGCGAGATGAGCGCTGCAACCCCGGAGTCGGCCACGACTGGACCTAATGGTCAGGGGTCCCTTTACCTTTACTTTATGACTTCCCTTAATCTGGACACTAGATTCCTGTTTGATGCAGCCTGCAATAGCATTACCCTTTTTTGCTGCTGCATCACACTCTTGGCTCATGTTCAGCTTGTGGTCCACCAAGACCCCTAGATCCTTTTCACACGTACCGCTAGCAAGCCAGGTGTCCCCCATCCTGGTTCTTCCTGCCTAAGTGCAGAACCTTACGTTTGTCCCTGTTGAAATTCATTTTCTGAGCCTGGGCCCAGTTCTCCGGTCTGTTACAGTCCTGAAATCATAGAATCATAGAATCATAGAGTTGGAAGGGACCACAAGGGCCATCGAGTCCAACCCCCTGCCAAGCAGGAAACACCATCAGAGCACTCGTGACATATGGTTGTCAAGCCTCTGCTTAAAGACCTCCAAAGAAGGCGACTCCACCACACTCCTTGGCAGCAAATTCCACTGTCCAACAGCTCTTACTGTCAGGAAGTTCTTCCTAATGTGTAGGTGGAATCTTCTTTCTTGTAGTTTGGATCCATTGCTCCGTGTCCGCTTCTCTGGAGCAGCAGAAAACAAGCTTTCTCCCTCCTCTATGTGACATCCTTTTATATATTTGAACATGGCTATCATATCACCCCTTAACCTCCTCTTCTCCAGGCTAAACATGCCCAGCTCCCTTAGCCGTTCCTCATAAGGCATCGTTTCCAGGCCTTTGACCATTTTGGTTGCCCTCCTCTGGACACGTTCCAGTTTGTCAGTGTCCTTCTTGAACTGTGGTGCCCAGAACTGGACACAGTACTCCAGGTGAGGTCTGACCAGAGCAGAATACAGTGGCACTATTACTTCCCTTGATCTAGATGCTATACTTCTATTGATGCAGCCCAGAATTGCATTGGCTTTTTTAGCTGTCGCGTCACACTGTTGGCTCATGTCAAGTTTGTGGTCAACCAAGACTCCTAGATCCTTTTCACATGTACTGCTTTCAAGCCAAATAATATATGTGTTTCCCTTTCAGATCTTCCACATGACCTACGACCTGGCCAGCGCCGTCATGAGGATCATCAACCTCATTGGAATGATGCTTCTTCTGTGTCACTGGGATGGCTGCCTCCAGTTCCTGGTTCCCATGCTCCAAGATTTTCCCAGCGACTGCTGGGTCTCCATCAACGGGATGGTGGTGAGTCTGGTTGCCTCGACATCTCCCCCCTCTTGGCTCTTGCTACCGGGAGCCGGCCTCCATCATCATCATCATCATCATCATCATCATCATCATCATCATACAGTGGTGCCCTGCAAGACGAATGCCTCGCAAGACGGAAAACCCGCTAGACGAAAGGGTTTTCCGTTTTGGAGGTGCTTCGCAAAACGAATTTCCTATGGGCTTGCTTCGCAAGGCGAAAATGTCTTGCGAGTTCCTGCAGGGTTTTTTCCCTCCCCCCCTTTTTCCTAAGCCGCTTATCAGCTGATCCGCTAAGCCGCTTAACAGCTGATCCGCTAAGCCGCTAAGCCCACTTAACAGCTGATCGCTAAGCCCGCTTATCAGCTGATCCGCTAGCCGTAAGCGAGAGTAACTAAGCGGATACAGGCCAGCCACTATAACAGCAGACACCGCAGATATATCACTGTATATGGGGCCGGAGAGCGCGAGACGGGCTTCGTCTATCAGTCAAGAACGAAATACGATGCATAGGCCCCGGTAATAAGACATATGAAAGCGGTTAAGGCGGAAGATAGGCGAATGGATTAACGTCGAAAGAAAGACTGGAGGGACGGGAATGGCAGGGATTTAATGATGCATTTTAGGATGCCGTGAGAGTGGCGGTTAGGAGGCAGTGAGTGGAGCGTTCAAACACGACATGGTGGCAACTTAGAAATTATGCGGCACATCTCTGAGTCATGGTAAAATGCGTATATTAACACGGCCTACCCCGATCATATGGCATCCCTCTCTGGCGAGCTGTCGCAAGCGAACGAGCATTGTCAGGAGATGGCAGGACGTCGGCTCTGAAGCCCGTTTGAGAGTGTAATGCAAAGAGGTCCGAGGCGAGTATGTTCTACGGGATACGGACGCGCGAAAGTCGAGTAGGCGAGGGTGATGGATAAAACAAGAAGATGTGCACCAGAATCGAGGGAGGTGGCACGAACTAGACTTTCGGTCAAATAAGGTGATGTAAAGGAGTGGCGGTGAGGCTTCCAGGATCCTATACGGCTTGAAACTTCGGAGAGACCGTCTCATAAAAACTTAGTAAACAGTGTTACACGTCCGGGGATGGGCGCTAGTGAGTTATCCAGGCTTGCAGCAGACTTACTTGGTGTGAGCAATGAAGCACAGCGTAGGCGAATTAACGGACAAACGCTGACGCATGGATGGAGAAGCTGTAAAGAGGGTTAAAGGCCTTAGAACCAAGGGAACGGAACGGACGCGATGTGGAGTTAGAATAGCACGAGCCAAAAAAGGAGTCGCTGATAGCGCTGATCGGTGAATACGGTGGGTAGATGAACGCTGGGGGCTGAGTAGCCTCCATGCAACGTCTGCGGGAGACGTCCTTAGCATCTCAGAGACAGAGTCTGTATTCATGCAGCGTCTCCCCCTAAGCATTGAACGTGACCGAATCAAGGGAGATATGCATCACTTTGTCAAGGGGACAGGATGCCAGGATACGGCACCAGTATATATTAATCATGGACAAATTTATGGAATAGCAAATTGTCGGAGAAGTCAAGAGGTGTTAGTGTCAGCGAGCTGTTTATTGGGCGGATTAGACGCGCGCATGTGCATAGACAAAGTTTACGCTGCAAGCATGTGTAAGGTATCCTCATTGTAGACGGTCTCACGAGCGAATATAGTAGATTGAGACCATGTAAATAAAACCTAAGAACGTAGGCGCAGGAGGCTCGTCGTGCTCAGGAAGCAAAGGTCTTGGCAGGGTGCATGCCGTACGCAGACTATTCGCCGTCGGAGACGCAAGAGGCACGGCCGTTGGGTGACAAAGGATGGGTTCGCCCGTGACATAATTTAAGGATAGACCGATCCAGCGGCACTATAAGCAATTAAACCAAAGTTCCAAACGCTGTGAGCTTACAAACCATTAGTACTCAGGGTTAGCGCGGAGATACTGCGCCGAGTCCGTTACCAGTCAGTGAAGTCAGGGGAATGGGATCATCTGGTTTATCCGCGCAAAAATGGGCAGAGTCGCAGACTGTGAGAGTTGAATTGTGACACTGCAGGTTCACGTGCGACCAGTAGACCGGTGCAGTCCAGTAGTCTGTTGTCTTAATAAGCTTAGGGCCGTACCGACGACGTACGCGCAGGAAGAAGATCGTTGAGTTTCCGTATCGTTGAGTGTGGGTTGGGTAGGCGAATCTACGAGAGTAAACGGGGCTAGGGCGCCGGGCAACGGGGACGCACCCGGGCCATCGGAATAAGTCCCATGCAGAGAACGGCTAGGCCGTACGGAGGTAAAAAACTCCTTATGAGTCCGAGTGTAAGGTGACACGCTAAGTGTCTGGGCACAGAGAGGGGCGAATAAATGTCAGACAGAGGAAGACCGCAAGTAACTATGCATCAAAAGATCAGATCCATGGGATCACTGCGATACACCGTTAAAGCAGCGAAATGCGCCTACGATGGCGCTAGCTCACATGTACTCAAGAGGGGGCGCAGAGGTCGCTGCTCGGTACTATCAAGGCTAGTTAATGGACGATACCGCTAGAGGGTCTCTTCCAACTCTATGATTCTATGATTCTATGTGTGCAGGCTGAGACCCTGCCTACCTGGGAACTGCCTCGCCAGAGCGGTGCATGCTCTAGTTATCTCCCGCTTGGACTACTGCCATGCGCTCTCCGTGGGGCTACCTTTGAAGGTGACCCAGAAGCTACAACTAATCCAGAATGCGGCAGCCAGACTGGGGTCTGGGAGTGGCTGCCAAGACCATATAACACCTGTCCTGAAAGACCTACGTTGGCTCCCAGTAATTTTCCAAGCACAGTTCAAAGTGTTGGTGCTGAACTTTCAAGCCTTAAATGGACAGGGGGTGGGCAGGTGCGGAAGACTCCCTGGTCCTGAATGGGGTCACTGTGCCCCCGAAGGACCAGGTGTGCAGCCTGGGGGTCATTTTGGACTCACAGCTGTCCATGGAGGCACAGATCAAACCTGTGTCCAGGGCAGGTGCCTACCAGCTCCATCTGGTACGCAGGATGAGACCCTCCCTGCCCACAGACTGTCTCGCCAGAGTGGTGCATGCTCTGGTTATCTCCTGCTTGGACTTCTGCCATGCACTCTCCGTGGGGCTGCCTTTGAAGGTGACCCGGAAACTACAACTAATCCAGAATGCAGCAGCTAGATTGGTGACTGGTAGTGGCCACCAAGACCATATAACACCGGTCCTGAAAGACCTACATTGGCTCCCAGGACGTTTCCGAGCACAATTCAAAGTGTTGGTGCTGACCTTTCAAGCCCTAAACGGCCCAGTATACCTGAAGGAGCGTCTCCACCCCCATCGTTCAGCCCGGACATGGAGGTCCAGCTCTGAGGGCCTTCTGGCAGTTCCCTCCCTGCGAGAAGTGAAGTTACAGGGAACCAGGCAGAGGGTCTTCTAGGTGGTGGCGCCCTCCCTGTGGAAAGCCCTTCCATCAGATGTCAAGGAGATAAAACAATTCACTTTGTAAAGACATCTGAAGGCAGCCCTGTATTGGGAAGTTTTTCATGTTTGATTATATTTTTATATGTGTTGGAAGCTGCCCAGTATGGCTGGGGCAACCCAGTCTGATGGCCAAGGTACTAATGGTTGTTGTTGTTTAGTCATTAGTCGTGTCCGACTCTTCATGACCCCCTGGACCAGAGCACGCCAGGCCCTCCTGTCTTCCACTGCCTCCCGCAGTTTGGTCAACTTCATGCTGGCAGCTTCGAGAACACTGTCCAACCATCTCATCGCCTCTGTCGTCCCCTTCTCCTTGTGCCCTCCATCTTTCCCAACATCAGGGTCTTTTCCAGGGAGTCTTCTCTTCTCCTGAGGTGGCCAAAGTCTTGGAGCCTCAGCTTCAGGTTCTGTCCTTCCAGTGAGCGCTCAGGGCTGATTTCCTCAGAATGGAGAGGTTTGGATCTCTTTGCAGTCCATGGGACTCTCCAGAGTCTCCTCCAGCACCAGAATTCAAAAGCATCCATTCTTCGGCGAATCAGCCTTCTTGATGGTCCAGCTCTCACTTCCATACATCACTACTGGGAAAACCAGAGCTTTAGCTATTACGGACCTTTGTTGGCAAGGGTGATGTCTCTGCTTTTTAAGATGCTGTCTAGGTACAAATAAATTAATAATAATAATAATGCTTAGCCTTCCTGGGGAATCATGGAGGACTAATGGTAGAGCAAGCAGTTGCATAATGAGGGTGTCAAAACATCTTTGAAACTCCCCCCATTGTTGCAACAGTCACTGTCACGGGCCTGACTTCATATTTTGAAGGAGTGACGCTTGGAGCGGCGACTCATACAGGGAGGCAATGGAGAGCCTCCTCTGGAAGCACGCAGTGCTGTTTTCCCTCTGCTTGCCATAGAAGATGGAATGCCCTGGTTTTTCCAGGGGCCCAAAAGGAGGTTTGGCCAGGGCAGTGGATCATACAGAGCCGGCAACACCACCTCTGCAGGTGTGTGGATCCCCACTGAGGATCTCCATGTAGAGAGAGGGATCCAGGTGGGTCCAGCACAGAGCCCTAGCGGAATCCGCCTCCACCCACAGAAGGAGGCAGTTAGGACAGGAGGCAGAGCTGGCAAGTGGATCATGCAGAGAGGCGGCAGACAACCTCTCCGTGGGCAGAGACTTCGGACTCAAACCTTGATTTGAAATACCGTATTTTTTGCCTCATAGGACGCACTTTCCCCCCTCCAAAAATGAAGGGGAAATGTGTGTGCGTCCTATTGGGGCAAATGCAGGCTTTCGCTGAAGCCTGGCAGAGTGAGAGGAGTCGGTGCGCACTGACCCCTCTCGCTCTCCAGGCTTCAGGCAGCTATCCGCAAGCCTTCGGAACGCGGCGGGAGTTCCCGCCGGGCTCCAAAGGCTTGCAGATAGCAGCCTGTTTCTGGGGGTTGGGGTCAGGGGAAGCTCGGGCTTCCCCCGTCCCCAGCCCCACGGCTAAAACGAAGCCAAGACAGCGAGCGGGATCCATTCTGCCAAAGCCGCGCACAGCCTCTCCCGGCTGGAGAGGTTGTGCGTGGCTAAAGAGGAAGCCAAAACAGCCAGTGGGATGGATCCTGCTCACTGTCTTGGCTTCTTTGCTCTTTGGGCTGGGGGGGGATTTTTTTTTTTTCTTTATTTCCCCCCAAAAAACCAAAGGGTGCGCCCTATGGTCTGGTGCACCCTATGGGAACGAAAATACGGGTAATTCATTTCACGCCTCAACCGCAGCTTCTATCCACCACCCAACCCCCGTGCAATATGATCCGCTTCCCTGTTGTTGAATGTTAGATTATCGATTTAATGTTTTTTATGAATTTTGCATGTTTATAATTGAGGAGTGTTGCAGTTGTCCTGCCATTGTTCTTCCCAACCGGTGTTGAGCTTGAGATGCTTCCGGAGCATCTCTCTGGGTATTCAGGGATTCGCTTAAAGCAAAGTGCACCATTAATTCAGACTTGCAAAAGTTAATGGGCATCTTTGGGTCCATTAATTTCAATGGGTTAGAGCTTAGGGGCCAACCTGCCATTGGGTAATTTGTCATGCTTGCATTATGCTTATGGGAACATGTCAGCTGGATCAGTGGTTGTCCACTTTGAGAAGCTTGCAGGAATAGCTACTTGCCTATTCAGAGGTATGCCTTCTCCCGCAAAAAAGGTACAACATAGCTATTGTGGCACGTAGCCATGGTGTCTTGAGAAAGCTGGCAGTAAATTGCACAGTGGTAAATGGAGTTAGCTCTTTATTAGCAAAAGCAGGCCTAATGAGCGCGGCGATTCTTCTTCGGTAGGTCTTGCCTCCACGAAGCATTGCTGAGACCATAGCTGCCAACTTTTCCCTTTTCTTGCGAGGAATCCTATTCGGAATAAGGGTTTGGTTGTTGTTGTTTAGTCGCCTTAGTCGTGTCCGCCTCTCGTGAACCCCCTGGACAGAGCACACCAGGCCCCTCCTGTCTTCCACTGCCTCCCACAGTTTGGTCAAACTCATGCTGGTAGCTTCGAGAACACTGTCCCACCATCTCGTCCTCTGTCGTCCCCTTCTCCATGTGCCCTCCATCTTTCCCAACATCAGGGTCTTTTCCAGGAGTCTTCTCTTCTCATGAGGTGCCAAAGTCTTGGAGCCTCAGCTTCAGGATCTGTCCTTCCAGTGAGCACTCAGGGCTGATTTCCTTCCGAATGGAGAGTTTGATCTTCTTGCAGTCCATGGGACTCTCAAGAGTCTCCTCCAGCACCAGAATTCAAAAGCATCCATTTCTTCGGCGATCAGCCTTCTTTATGGTCCAGCTTCACTTCCATACATCGTTGATAGCCCCTGGACTCAGCTTATTTTGCTACACTAACTCAACCTACCCACAGACTCTATTCCAATTCCCTCCCACTCCAACCAACCACCCACCCAACTCCCAACGAACTCTCCTTTCCCCCTCCCAGAGCTGGTTTTATAGTCCCTCTGACTCCACCCCCTGGGTTCTGATTGGGTAACTTATTTAACTATTTCACCTCCAGCTCTCTTCAACGTCACAGGGACGGAAACGCTCCTTCAGGGATACGAGAGCGACTCTTCACCTCCTGTGGTTTCTAGCAACTGGGATTCAGAAATATTTCTGCCTCCCAGCTGTGGAGGCATTGCACAGCTGTCCTGGCAAGCAGTCCCCCTTCTCCATTTTTTTTTAAAAAAATTATTAGCTTTTCCACAATTATAACAAAACCACAAAGCAAAATAACACACAGAAACAGAAAGAAAGGAAAAATACATCAATAGAGAAAAAGAACAATAAACAGATAAGCAATAGCAACAAACTTAATTCTTTAAAGATCCAACTTTTTAACCATCTTGGTTGACTTCCTCTAGTCCCTCCCTTCTGAGTTTCCTTATAATTGAAGATAACAGCTTTCTAATTTCATTATTAAACTAAAAAAACACTCCAGTTCTATCCATCTTATTCATTCAATTTCTGCATTTTTGGACTTTTTTTTAGTTTTAGAGAAAAGGGGATTAAGAGAGAGGCATGTGTTGTGGGTTAAACCACAGAGCCTAAGACTTGCCAATCAGAAGGTCGGCGGTTCGAATCCCCGCAACGGGGTGAGCTCCCGTTGCTCTGTCCCTGCTCCTGCCAAACCTAGCAGTTCGAAAGCACCTCAAAGTGCAAGTCGATAAATAGGGTACCGCTCTGGCGGAAGGGTGAACAGCGTTTCGTGCGCTGCTCTGGTTTGCCAGAAGCGGCTTAGTCCTGCTGGCCACATGACCCGGAAGCTGTACGCTGGCTCCCTCGGCCAATAAAGCGAGATGAGCGCCGCAACCCCAGAGTCATCTGCGACTGGACCTAACGGTCAGGGGTCCCTTTACCTTTACCTTTTAATCGATGAAAGTAACAGCAAACCACAATGCATAAAATGCCACAAAACATACAAAACCACGTGAAAGGGTCAAATTGCGAAACGAAGAAGCACAACTTATAAAACTTTATTTTTTATAAATATATATCCCTGAACTGTTTTCCCTGCTGCTGCTCCTGTTCTCAAAGTCAGAGGTGGAAATGCCATTGCCTCATGAAAAACAGAAAATCTCTCCCTTCCAATGTTGTGATTACTTACTTTCTGGAGTTTTGTTAATAAGCCTGCGCCTTTTTGAACGGGGAATAATCGCTTGCCCTCTTATCAAACGGTTGGGTTTTCAACAGCGACAAAAAAATGTGGCGCGAGAGGCATCTTGCCTCCTCCGCTCTTAATAGCGCCGCGATAACCTGATAAGGAGGTTCCCCCGCATTATCCTTGTCAGAAACCGATAGGGGATTAAGTTTGTGTAGCAGCCAGGGATATGACGGATGGGTCCAGGAGGGAAAAATCATTCACGCATAGTGAAGAAATTATATCAAGATCAGGGCCGGATTTCGGTTTGATGAGGCCCTCAGCTACTGAATAATAATAATAATTTATTATTTATACCCCGCCCATCTGACTGGGCTTCCCCAGCCCACTCTGGGCGGCTTCCAAAAAAAAAAAAATTAAAATACAGTAATGCATCAAACATTAAAAGCTTCCCTAACAGGGCTGCCTTCAGATGTCTTCTAAAAGTTCTGGTAGTTGTTGTTCTCTTTGACATCTGGTGGGAGGGCGTTCCACAGGCGGGGTGCCACTACTGAGAAGGCCCTCTGCCTGGTTCCCTGTAACTTGGCTTCTCGCAATGAGGAACCGCCAGAAGGCCCTTGGAGCTGGACCTCCGTGTCAGAATGATGGGAGTGGAGACGCTCCTTCAGATATACTGGACTGAGGCCATTTAGGGCTTTAAAGGTCAGCACCAACACTTTGAATTGTGCTCGGAAACGTACTGGGAGCCAACGTAGGTCTTTCAGGACCAGTGTTATGTGGTCTTGGCGGCCGCTCCCAGTCACCAGTCTAGCTGCCGCATTCTGGATTAGTTGTAGTTTCCGGGTCACCTTCAAAGGTAGCCCCCACATAGAGCGCATTGCAGTAGTCCAAGCGGGAGATAACCAGAGCATGAGACAGTCCGTGGGCAGGGAGGGTCTCAGTCTATGTACCAGATGGAGCTGCCCTGGATACAGAATTGACCTGCGCCTCCATGGACAGCTGTGAGTCCAAAATGACTCCCAGGCTGCACACCTGGTCCTTCAGGGGCACAGTTACCCCATTCAGGACCAGGGAATCCTCCACACCTGCCCGCCTCCTGCCCCCCAAAATAGTACGGTAATGGGGCCCTTTATATGTCCAGCTGTCCTTTGCCAACAACAAATTGCCACTGTTTTTTTTGGTTGAATATGTGCCATATGGTAATTGATGGACCTGATAGGGTATCTCAAGCCATTTGCACATCACAACATATGTATTTTATCAAAGCCATCGTTGAACTGAAATACCCTGACTGCCATGGGGGTTTAGCTTCCTGAGAACCTGGTTTAATTTTTATTATTAATCTTGTTTCTAGTCCTCATTGCAGTAGTGATCGCTCACATCTTGAAAAACCAGCGTTCAAGGGGGTGGACTTTTCTCAGGACTTCCGGTTGTTCAGGAAGTGTAAACCTACACTTGTTGCCCTGTAAGAATGATGACTTTGTGTCCCTTTTACAGAGGGGATACTGAGGCCGAGGGAGTAATTGTGGGAGCCCAAGATATAATGAGTTCCTGCTGGAAAGACTGAAACTTGGCTTTTCAAATTCCAAGCACTGAAGTAAATCATTCAGGGGTTTAAAAACTTCCTGGACTTGGGTAGGCAGGCTGCGGTTGATAGTAAGGAACTCTGCACATGCTCAGAGGCGGATTGCATGGTCGCTGAGTTACAGCAGAGAAAACACCTTCCATCCAGTCTGGCTATGTTTGTTGGTTTGTTTTAATTCCAATCTAAAGCACTTAAATGTTGCTAAGGGCTGTGCAGAATAGCATCTGTTTTTTTTAATATCAGGCTAACATAAAGGACAATAAAATGCGGGATAGTGCATTGTACGCTGTCCATTCATTATGGCTGCGATTTGAAATATGCTTGTTGTTGTTG